CGCGTCCTCTACAGCAGCCACAGTGCCAAGTGGAGCTTCAATGACATTCGCTTTAGTTCAACTTTGCTGGGTGCCATCAAGGAGGCGAGATATGACGTGTCGCCAACACGCAACATAATCGTCTTCAACAATGGATGTTGGGCGGAGGGAAGCTGTTGCCAGGTAGGGCATGGAGGGGTGCTGGATATCGGATGTATTCGGATGTATTTCTCTCCTTTTTCAGGAATTCGTAGTACCCAGAGTATGCGGAACCAGCTACGGAGATCACCGGGCAGATATCGTTTCATCCTGCCAGAGGCTTCCGGGATCCAAATATTTGATCTTCTATGCGTCTCCACGTTTGATTGACGTCTCAGCCTCCAAGGGGTGAGTGATCAGTCAGTCAGATAAAAGAAAGCAAGTGCATTAAACACTCCCTACACAAACATAACGATGCATCCCTACTGTCACACATGCACTCCACTCACGTTACCTTACCCCTTACTGCCTGTGTCCTGGATCCTCATCATCAGGGAAACCAACAAGGTTTGTCCCGACACTGGGAACAGTCTCCGCGCCTGGCGGTATTCGACGAGCTACTCTGGCGTCCGTGCTCTCAATCTCGTCTGTCAGGACCCAGCCGTTTGTACAAAGTTGCCTGTTTTGCCATTTTCAGAGTGTCCTGTAGGAAGGTGCTATGGTAAGGACATGGTCTGGTAACGATTCTAGAAGCGCACGAATATGCGTGGTTGGTTTCGCTTTGGGGTTTCCGCGTGTGTTTTTCTTTTCTTTTCTTCCGCGGTTTGGGGCTTGGAATCTACACGGCATGCAAGGAAAAGGCGATGGAATAAGAAGAGAGATTGCATGTGAAACACAACACCAAGTAGAACGGACAACTCACTTTGGCCAAAGGCCGCTACAACAATATAACAGACGGCTACATCAACAATCCTCTCACTATCCCCCTTCTCCCCTTCCGCCTCTTCTTCTTTCTGCTTGAACTAATTGTCGTCCCCTCCTCTGACCCTGCTGTTGCTACCGGTGCGTCCCCGCCGACAACTGTATAGTGCCTAAGGCTTGCCTCCATCTGCCGACGGTGTGCGATGTCGACGAGCCCGCTGTAGCTACGCATACTCCTCCGGTTCGCTCCGTAGCCGGGTGTGTGTGTAGTGGGCGTCGCACGGATGCAGTGATGAAACTATGAGGACCAAAGGCAAGCGGGGGCGCACCGAGACGCGATCCTGCTGTGGAGGCGTCCAGTTAACAACACACTCAAGTTCAGGATGGGGTTAGAGGGCAACTCCTACCGGCAGCTCAGAGAGAAGGCAGAGAGAGAGGAAACGAGGTTGGATGATGCAAAGGAGCAGTGGCCCGACGGGGGGCGCAACAGGCGGGCGCATACATCAACGAAGGAGACAGACGTTTCTGCCCCATACCCAGCCGGAAAGAGGCCGGAGTAGTGAGTCGTAGTCGAGTTGCTCGGTGGGTGACCGTCCGCCCACACCTTAGACACAATCATGCAGACGCACGAGTGCAGACTTCGTTGCCATGAATGAGTGTGACGGACACAGAATTAAGGGAAAAGTGCCGGTCAGGTTCGACACACACACACACATGCACACACTCCACACACACAGCCATCGAGAGAGAGAGGGAGGACTGACGGGGCACCAAGCGAGTGCTGCGTCAAGGTGACGGCACTTCAAGCGCGCCGGACAAGCGAAGTGCGCCAGCAAATCTGTGAAGCACAATCGATGCAGACAGATGCTCTGAGTCATCCCTGGTTCACAGCTTCCTAAGATATCCACTCAGTCCCGAGAAACCGGCCAGGCGTCCTGTCTCCCCCAGCCCGGCGTCCTCTCCCGGCCGTTAGTTTCGCGGAGCTCGAGAGCGCCCCTCATCGCGACACAACAGCACACCCACGCCACACACGGCAACACACGTCGCAACATGCACAAGATGGCAAAAGCAAAAGCAAAGCAAACAAAACACATGCGAGTTATGATATTGTGGTATTGAGTCAATTTGAAAGTTCCAACTGATCAGCCATTCATCGAATTACTCAACATTCATCTCGCCGGAATCGTCGACTAAGTCAGCTTAAGCCTTAATGCAATGCAATATGTCTGATGCCTGACATGTTACACCCATTGTACAGAGAGGCTTGAAGGCCTAGGAACTGGCCACTCTGGCAAAATGGCCCGGAGAAAGTTGAGACAGGCATCGCGCCTCCCTTCACTGTTGCGCTTCTTCAGGGACTCACGACCTTCATGTCCATTGCAAATTTCCAGCCCATCCACGAACACGCCTTTTACAACGATAAGTGTGTATAGTGTATACGTGTGTGTACATGTGTGTACTTGAGAGTTGACATTGCTTGCCTGATACTTTGTCGTCGTTAAGATGTGCAGCCAACCAATTCATCGCGATATCCTCACAGTTCCTCTCTCGATTGACCACGTCAATAACAGACCTTTGTCAATCAACATGACAGGTAGCGCAGAATATGTTTGTCACAGCTGCTTGCTCACCGAGGCATGAAATTCTTGTAGTCCTTAAGAAGCGATGTAGGCATCAAGGCAAGACTCGTCAAAGCGATATTGTTGTCATTTTTGTCGGAATCGTAGTATAGCGCGTGCGAACCACTTGAACACTCATAAATGGAGCGTCGAAACCCTCTTGAAGTCACGATTCTTCCCGGAAACTGCCGAGCTGCGAGCAATAGCTTATGGACTCCGCCTGGCAAACAGCGAATTTTGTGGCAGACGATGTTATTCTTTGTATCTTCTCTCACTGCACGAAAGCGATCTGTCGTCATCGAGCGTAAGCGTGAAAGGCGTGGTAACGTAGTCTGCGGCAAAAAATCTCTCTCCGATCCCCCTTTCACCCGGAATGATCCGCACCTTCGTGAACTTCCTTGTCATGTCCTTCAGCGCCCGGCGGAAACTGCGCAGTGATTGTTGAGGTGGTGCCCAGCTGTCTAAAATGATTTTCTCAATGAAAACACAATCATGCAGAGGGCCTAGAAAGGACGTGATCCACGAGGATGCTCGAAACGGACCGATTGCCACAGCCACAGTGACTTTCCCCTGAACGTCACAGATACGACAGTGGCAAAAAAATCGGCTGTGCCCTCACCTGGAGATCTTCCAACGTGTTGCTGTTCATGTCAAGCGTTACTCTGTCTCTCACATGACCCTTAGGGGCAACGCTTTGGAGACGGTCACAGCATGCGGCTGAAGACCAGTCGTTGAGCGTCGCGTTGTGCAGGCTGACGGTACCGTAGCGAGGTGTGGCGAGCGTTTTATCTCCATCGCAATGCGGCTTCGCGGGTGTTCTTTTTTGCAGCAGTCGGACGCGCAGCAATCGGGGATTGGGTGTCGCGTTGTGCAGGTTGAGCAGATCTGCTGTAAGGCGTCCGACAATCACCCAAAACCAAGCCCCGCGAAGTAAGATCATGACAGCGTTACTCAGCCCGGTAAACGGTTAAACGGTCATTCGCGAAATGCCTCGCCCTTGAGCCGAGGCACATTCGGCGACCAATGCACCACGACGATGACGGCCACCGCTTCTCGATGTGGATGGGTACGAGGGGCTGAGTGATGAGGGGGCGGGTGAGGAGGGGAATGAGGAAGATGAGCAGGAGGAAGATGAGTAGAGATTCTGGTTGGTAGATTTGCCAGACTCAATGTACATAGGTTGCATCAAGGCGTTTTATTGCTCTCCTGACGTTAGACAACATTTCTTAAATGACCGATTTCGACCGCTCCATTTTTATTGCGCTCTATTTTAAATGTTCCTCTCTTTCGCGCGGACCGGAACTGTCATTTGACTGACATGGTTTGCAGCCGCACTTGTTGCTGCCTTCCGGTCTCTCATCTGCATTTCCTTGATGTCGCGGTGCTTTGTAAGATAAATGAATATCATTCGACTATGATACAGTCAGGATATTACAGGCACTCATGCACTTCCTGTCTAGTACGGACACATCAGGCAATGCATTGATCTAGCGTGTCTCGGCCGACCCATCTGTCTGATTGTTTTTTTTTTCGTTGGCGCTGGCGTTGGCGTTTGCGTTGCTCCAGTGGGTCCCGTTTGTGGTGCGGATCGGATAAGGTTCAAAGGTTCAACCAGGTCGGGGCAATCGAAGAAAAGACCCGTGTTGCTTTGTCTGTCGTTCCCGTCCCTAGCACACGGACAGGTGAGAAGTCCATCCCTCACGGCGGCAGACATGACCTCGATTCACCTCACGCTCGATGTATCCATCTTTTGTCATTTGTGTCATGTCTGCAGATGTGTCCTTGGCATGGCGGGAACCTAAGCACGGGTAATCTTGAGTAGATGCATGAAGCGGGCACGGGTAATCTTGAGTAGATGCATGAAGCGGGCGACGAAGTTCGTCTAAGCATCAGTTGGTATCAAGCAAACAAAGGGAAACAATACATACAGAAAACAATGGACAATGTTGGATGACCGAAAACATGTCGCACACTGCAAACAAGCGTGAGACATGCAACATGACATACACATTCAGGACCCAGATCCAGTCAGCCACCTCAAAGCCCCGCAGCGGGGCTGGTGTGTGGCCTGTATGGCCCGCAGCTGACGAAGTCCTCCGGAAACGCGCTGGCCCTCCGTGGCCCTCTGGCGGCCGCCGCGCGCTGCGCACGACTTGCCACTTGAAAAGCGCTGTGCTTCATCAGCTCGACAATGATTGACGATGCTCTCTCGGAAAGCTGTGTCCTCCTCTATGGGAATGAATGTGGGGCGAGACTTTCGTTTGGTGAGCAAACAGTCTCTCAATCACGTGCGATGTATACGTGAGTGATGGACGGATGAGCGAATGAATGATTCACCTCTGGATCTCTTTGCCAAGATCGGTGGATGAATGAATGATTTATCGGTCAACCTGAACATGGATATGGCCCGCTTAATCTGACCTTCAATTCCTTCACTACGCGAAATCAACCGTGTCTCTACTGCTCCTCTACCGTGTCTCTATTCTGCTACTGTGTCTCTACTCCTCTACAAGTCAAGTCTGTCCCGCGCAGCTACGGATCGACCACTCCGTCTGCTCCCGCGGCTGTGTGCTGTCCCTGTCACCTAAAAGGCGCCAATACCCCGCGCGGCCACGTGGAGCGTGCGGCGGCTCCCAGGAGACGTTGTTCAGGCACCTAGAGTAGCGTCGAACCTGTGTATCGCTCCAATTATCGATGAAAGACAGGTGGGACACATCCAGCTCGTCATCCTGGGCATGGCCGTTGTCAACGCTGTCGCTGCGGTCACTGCTGTCGGACATGTCGACTGTCAACGGAAACGTGAAGGCCCCCGGCACCATATTGCCCCGGCAAACCTAGATCCCCCAAATAGGCCCAGCAACGTTCATACTCTATGCAGAATGAAACTTTGTCTCACCTGCGCGCACATCTACTCACGCGAGTTTATTGAATTGGATACCGCGAAGCAGTATTCCCTTGAGAACTAAGCTTGATAAACTACTTGCTGAACCAATTACAACTCATTCTTGAGAAAATCCATGGTCTTGTCCCCCCCTCTGCCGAATGTCTCCGCAGCGAGAGGCACGAAGCGGAAGCCGGCTGCTTGGGTGATTGGTCCATACTTGTCGATCTTGTCTTTCTCCGCTCACCTAAGCGAAGGACTCAATACATTGAAACGAAAAGTAAGAGGAAACATAGACGAGACGAGGAGTGCAAACTCGCCCTTCTCCCAACATTTTACTTTTCTGGGGGCCTTGCCTTGCCTTTGCTTCGCCATGTGGCGCGACACGGTGTCCCACCCGCCAGCTCTGCCGAGGACCGGGCGTTTCTTTTATGAGGGTGGCGTTGCTGATGCGATGGAAATGTTGAGAAACCAATTAGCCTATAGCCGATGTTGTAACTACTGGGGGCCGACGCATCATTTCCCCAACAGGAACGCCTTCGGACCGCAGAACTACGGTACCCCCCTTTTTAGTCGTGCCTTTCCGAGGTTCTACAGTGTTGACTCCGGAATCGAACTGCCAACCCCTACGCAGTTGCCCAACCGCAGTTGCTCAGTAGGATTGTTCTCCATGTTGAGAAACCAATTACATTACTGACCACTTGTGTTCATGAGTGTCCTGGCGTTTGCATGGCGCGGCCGATGCTCGGACACCACAGCGCGCGGGTTTGTTTCCTGAGGACCTCATTTCTCGAGGACCCTACAAAGCACATGCTACTGGCGATGATAGCATACGTGCACAGTACGATCTATCAACAGGCGGCTACAATCAACAATCCTCACTCACGCTCCTCCCTCCTCCCCTTCGTCCTCCCTTCCTTAGTCTTACAAGAAGAAGAGGAAGGCGAAGAGGGAGGGGGATGAGTGAGGGATGTTGTTTGTAGCTGTTCATATGTGGTAGACGGTTCGTCCAGCTACGCGAACGGGTTAGCGAGTGTTGCTGTCAGTAGCATGACATGCCACATTGGATAGTCCACATTTCATGAAAGGGTCTTGCAGCGCGATATAATGGTCTGTGCTGCGGCTCTTGACAGGAAGAATAGAAAAAGGTGCAACGCAACCTTCATGGCACGAGAGATGACGCCGACGTATCGACCAATCAAATCCAGCCCTGCAAGCACACCACCAGCCCCACGCATTGCATCCTGGTCCTTGTTGCTTCCTCCAACCAGCAGCGTCAACACAGACGGAAGAATGCGAAGCACAAGAATGGCCGCTGCCCCAATCAGCATCGCGATGTGCCACGGAGCGAGAGGCAAAGCCTGACAGAAAATCTCCTCCCAGACAACGCTCAAGATCCCCCCAAGGACCGACGAGCACATCAGAGCCCTCCACAGCGTGGTTTCCGCCACTCCGTGGCGATAAAAGCACTCCAAGCTGAAGTCGTTCCGGGTCACACCAATTGGTGCTCCAGTGGAGGGTTGATCAGGTGCGGGTGCCTCTGCCGAGGGGGCGATGCGAGTCAGCCGGTCTTGCTGCGCCTGCAGGACCTTCTTTTGTCGGGCCTCGGCCCGCAGGCGCAGCTTCTCGGAGTTCATGTCGCACACCGCGCGCTAAAGGGGGATCGGTCGGTCGGTGGCGGGCGCTAAAGGAGGAGGGGGAGGGAGTGAAAGCCAGCCAGCGGTTTCAGGGAGCACCCCTACCGGTGAAGGGAGGAAAGCGTTAGAGTTCGTAAAACTGATCAGCAGCTCAATGTCAACTGTACAAGCTATGGAGGAAGGAGTCGTTCGGGCGCTGAGTGAGAAGGAGGATGCACTTGATGAGGAGATAAAGAGGCTCGAAAGGCTCGACGAAGATGAGCTCGAAGCTCTGAGAGCCCGGCGGATCACGCAACTTAGAAAGAAAGCCAGCGAACGGTGTGAAATGGTCAGCAGAGGACATGGGAGTTACACGGAAGTCCAGGAGAAGGAGTTCTTCGAAGCCGCCAAGAGGAGTAGCAAAATGGTAGGCAAAGTGATTCCCGAGTGTGTACGATTTTCCGTTTGGATGTATTTCAGGTCGTTCACTTTTATCGTTCGGCTACGTGGCGATGCCAAGTGCTGGATAAACATCTAAGTGCTCTCGCTGTACGACACCTGGAGACGCGCTTCGTCAAAATCGATGCTGAGAAGGCGCAATTCCTCGCCGAAAGTAAGGGAGCTTCGAGGTATCACGTGCCCAGACTCGGGGGCGCCTTGTGTTGCTTGTAGGGCTGAAGATATGGATGCTGCCCACAGTAAGATGGAAGATGGATAACGTATCTGCCGCGCAATGTGTTGTGTTACAGCTTGTGTTGGTGCGCGATGGCAAGACGGAGCACTCGATCGTCGGATTTGATGAACTAGGAGGCATGAAGATAGGAGGCATGATAGAACCAGTAATGCTGTCTGCCATTGTTACTAATTTCTTGTCCAGGCCACGATAACTTCAGCGCGGAGGACCTGGAATGTCTGCTGCATCGATGGAGGATTACAGACAATTGCAGAACCACCACACCGACCCAAGATCATCAAGACGATGAGCACGACGATTAGATTCTTGCATGTATGTCCGTGCAATAGTGAGGCCGGCGTATATGTACAGACCAGTCAGATCGACTATGTACACTTCTCGGATTATTGCGACTGGACGCCTTAGTGACTGCACAATCTATCAACAGCGTGGCTACACTCACCCATTCTCCCCGCTCCCTGCTTCCACCATCTCTCCGGGCAGATCTCTGCCACTACCGATGCCCCTAACTTCAGGGCTTGACTCCTTCTTCCATCAACAAGGCCTCCTCGTCACACGTCCTCTGCACAGACGCCTGCCCGCTACGCTCCATCTCGAGCACGACAAACACATAAGATATCCATACCCATATCTCATTCCATGACACGTGTGTCATCCCCGCTCGCAGCGCAAGTAGCAACACTGAGTAGATAGTAGATAGTAGAAAGTGGTGATGGTAGAGAAGGGTGTAGATAGAGGTGCGACCCACGAGTGAACACAACCGACCAGCCAGCCCTGGATTACGCTGCTTGTTGATAGTAGAGAGAGGGCGTCTGGTGTTTTGTGTAAGACTTCCCATTCCTGATATTGGGCGTGTAGAAAATTAAGAGACAGCCACCAGATCATTCAGGGACTGCGTCTTCTCACTCACCCTGGTTCGAGAGAGATGTCTCACTCAAGTCTGTACGCAGGCGCTCACCACCTACCTGCCTGCCTGCCTGCCTGCTTTCTCCATATGGACTGTGCAGACATGCATGCACACTCAACACTACACGGAATCTCAAGACTATGGGCGATCCTGTGCTCAGGTGGTGGCAATGTATGCAGTGCGTATCGATACTGGGCCAGTGTGTTTCGGCGGTTTTAAGTGTGTCAGGGAGGAAAATTTTCGCAGATGCAAATGACACCTCAAGTCAACATCTGTCTCGCTCCATTTGCACAGAACACCTCTTGTGTTGATGACCGAAAATCCCTCGTGACCATAACACACAACTCAGAGACTGGCCGCGAGCAATATGGAAAAAACTTCTCTATCAGGGAAGGCTCAACAGATGGTTCATGTCTATGGCACGTCGATTGATAGAAACATCCATGAAGAATCAGCCATCCCCCGAGACATGACTGATTGTCTATCAAAGGGGCAGTCAGGCAGACACCGGCACATTTGATGATGTATCGTTGTCTGTCCGTCCGTTGGTATCCCATGAAGGCGTAGACAGCCCGCAATCATGAAAACATCCATGCCACACACCTTCACACGGGGCGAGCGGAGTCTCAGCCCCTTGTGATGCGTTTCTTAAGAATGCCGGTAGTCATTTCGCGTGTATGAAGCCGACAAATCGGCCTTGCGGACAACCGGATAAATGCAGGTCGCGCCGAGCGATTATCGACCTCGGGCGCCCGAACGCTGTTCTTTCTGCGGTGTCCCAGATGGGCTCTGACGTTCGGCCCGAGCGTATCGGGTCTCCTTCACCGGTTGAGTCAGACAATCGACAGCACGGCGTGTGTTCCAGAATGATTTGGGCATGACGCTGTCCGCTTTGCACCGGTGACTGTACTTGGCTGCAATCTGACGGACCTGCAGCAACGAGGAGGGAGAGGTGAATACCACACGCGAGAGGCACAATTGAAAGGAGAGAGAGGGATGCAACGTTTACCTCTTCTAGTAGCCCTTCATCGAGTGTGATTGGGTCGAGTCCCAGGATGCGAAACTTCCGGTTCGACACTTCCAGCTCATTCTCGGGCGCCTCTTGTCTGCAGACGAAGACGGGCATCAGTGCAACAAGAAAGTCTGGGTTGAGCTGCGAGTCATGTCACCTTGGGTTGGCAAGGTATGCAACTCGTCCGCCGGTCTTGCTGGCGATCATTTCTGCCAAATCTCGCACACGAAGTGTTTCAGCAACCTGGACGTTCAATGAGTGACAATATACCGTGTGTGCAATGCGTATTGACATGACGTGTACCTGATTCAGTATCTCGACTGGCTGTCCATGCTTCGGTGGGTTGATGAGTGCCAGTTCAATGCATCGGCATGTGTCCCTGATGTGAATGAAGGCTCGCGTCTGGCCTCCAGTGCCGTACACAGTGAGGGGAATGCCCAGGGCTGACTGCATGAGGAAGCGATTCAGCACCGTGCCGTAGTCACCATCATAATCAAACCTGCGCTCACACAGCAAAATCAGCCTATCACTCGAAATACGACCAGCGCTTCACACAATCATACCTGTTGACCAACCGCTCGTCTTTGAGGGTCTGATCGGTGTTCGTCCCCCACACGATGCCCTGATGCAGATCCGTGACTCGGAGACCATCGTTCTTATTGTAAAACTGGAACAGCAGTGCATCCAGACACTTAGTGGCATGGTAAAGGGAGCCAGGATACGCAGGGTGGAGGATCTTGCCCTCTCGACCGCCAGGTAGGATGACGTCGATGTAGCCCTCAGGTATCTCCCCACCAGATGTACCATAGCCGTAAACACCCATAGTCCCGAGATGCACGACGTGAATGTCCAACCCAGAGTCCACTATGGCGCACAGCACATTATGGGTGCCGGAAATGTTGTTGTCGATTGTGTAGCGCTTTTGTCGTGCTCCTTTCATCGAGTAGGGCGCCGCCCGCTGCTCGGCGAAGTGGACGATAGAGTCTGGTTTCTCTTTTTTCAGCAGGTCCACCAGCTCCTGGTAGTGTTGCTTGACGTCAATATTGACGAACTTGATATCCCGACCCGTCACTTCCTTCCACGCCTGCAGCCGCTTGTCAATCGGCTCGATGGGGGTGAGAGACGAAGTGCCGAGCTCGTTGTCAATGTCCCTTCGTGAGAGGTTGTCCACGATGATGACGTCATGCCCTCGCTCCGACAGATAGAGGCTCGTCGGCCACCCGCAGAAACCATCACCACCCAAGACTACCACTTTCTTGCGCCGATCCTGAGGGTCCGGTTGAAACTGGCTTGTGCTGAATTTGCCGTCTGCTGATCCGATGAGTGACGCAACCTGGCGGGGAGGGCTTACATCCCATCGGTTTCCCTTCGCCGCCGCGCTTCGTTTTCCAAACCAGGAGGATAGACCGCATGTGGTTTGCGCAAGGAGGAAGACAATGAGAAGGAAGATCCTAAGGACAGCCATGTAGGTTGGGGAAGAAGGGGGGAGGAGCATTGCCATTGCCGTTGCGTTTCACGGCCCACGCGACCTTAACACCATGCCTTTGCAGTGGAAAACTGAGTTTTGGAGGCAGAAGACTGAGTTTTGGAGGTGGAAAACCGAGTCTCACAAGCGGGTCGACGCGGCGCTGGAGGAATACCGTGCGTTGGCACGTAGTGCGAGTTTGTGTGTGCGTGGTGGGCGGCACCGCTGGAAGATGCGCCAGGCGGGCGCTGAGGATGGTGCTGGCATGTTTGTCCCGTGATTGAGGGTTCGTCGATTGACGCAGTTCATTTTATGAGAGACCGACGGACTCTCCTGCCGTACACAGATGGGCTTTGATTACGTTGCTTGTTAGATAGTTGAGAAGGGGTGGGTGGATGGATAGGTGGCTTGGCAAGAGGGAGATAGATGGATTTGACTGAGTAGATGGCGGGGATTTTAATCGTCGTCGACCATACAAACAGGCACTATACATGACACATTGCCATGAATGAGTCGTCGCCCTCCTGAAACCTGCGCCCGGCCTTCTTGGCCTTCTGCTTGGCCCTCTTCTTCTCGGCCTTCGTGAGACATCGGCATGAGAGACGTCACACGGCGTCGTGACAACCAATATCGCTCACGCATTGAATTCTGTCCAAGAGCACTTGAGGAGTGTATGATCCAGCCAATGAGGCGAGGGCATAAAGATGATGCCGAGAAAGAACGGGAGAAGATGGAAGAGGGGGCTGAGTAAGGGTTGACTGTAGCCAATTTGTTGATATGTATAGAACTCGATTGTTCATTCATGTGAATAAACGAAAAGCTAAGAGTACCGATGCGTACTCGGAAAACCAACGCGCAGCTGGAGGGTGGTTTCGATGGAGACGAATGGATCGATGGACAATTTCCCCAAAACCCGCCACTCACATAGACATGCCCAGAAGATTTTTTATATGAAGTGATATCTATTTGTCCCCCTCTTAGTGCCTCAGCGATGGACTCTCGGTTGTCTGCGCTCTCAATCGAACACGGAGAGAAGGCGCAACAAGATCCATCGTCGGTGGTGTATATAGAGGAGATTACAGACACGAGTCTCGTTAAACACTATAACAACCAGGTGTTCGACAAGAACTTTCCATCTATGGGCTATCGCGAGAGCACCTGACAGGCAGGCATGACAGGAGAAAATTCATTGTTTGTGTGTCGTGAAGCACCTCTGTGTTGCTGACCATATCATCTATTTTGAGGATCAGCATTACGGCTTCGGTGGACAAACGGACAGCAGATGTGTTCACCAACAAAGGCTGCACAGAGACGAGACGCCGACGCCACATTGTTGTCTATGGCGCATTTTGTATCCTCAGGCACCTGCAGCACATTCTCCTCGAGGATGTCGGATATGGCACCCTGAGAGGAGAGGGGAGACATAGGGACAATTGTGACACTGACTGCGCGCCTACCTTTCGCACGTTGACTCCTGCATGTTTCTCGCCCGCTGCATGTCGGTTGCGCAGCTCAGTGACGATCTCGATGGGATTCAGACCAGCGTTCTCGGCCAGAGTGTAGGGAATCACCTACAGACGCATCCGCAGTGAGAATGCTGTTCACACAGGGTGTCAGCCCACTCGAGTTCGGGTACCTCGAGGGCGTCAGCGAATGCTTTGACGCAGAGGGATTGGACACCAGGCAGGCTGCGGCCCCTGAGGGCACGGTGAAGAGCAGGATAGACACGATGCGAATTGCGTCAGTCAACAGTGTCTCCCGAACCATTCATTGAGTTTCTGCGATAGCTCCATTTCGGGGGCTCCACCGCCAGGAATCAGCGCCCTAGACACGCGAGGCGGGCACTTGCTTGCAGAATCAGAGCACTCGAGCGCGGCTGTATCAGGTGATGCTTACTTTTCCTTGACTAGACTGCGGACGACACACAGGGCGTCGTGGAGGGAACGCTCAGCCTCGTCGAGGGTCTGAGGAACCAGACACGGAAAGGACAAAGATGCCACGTCCGCAAGCAGGTATAGGCTGTCTTGCTTTCTCTACCCCTCTCCGCACCAGTTGGTTTGAGGCCCTGATGAGGACGCTGACGGTTCCCTTGCCTTTGACCCCCGTGACCCTCGCGATCTTGCCCTCGCCGCCAACATCCTCCTCACACACCTGCACAACACGAAACCGACGCAACACGTCGTACATGAATAGATGGACGGCAGCTACGATACGAAAGTACCATGTCTGCATGGCCCAGCTTGTCGCTCGTGAAGGCATCGAGGGACGCTACAGGCTCGCAGCCGAGCGTCTGAGACAAAGGCCCAAGTGGAATTCCGTGGACAATGCTTGTCTTCTGTGTGCGTTGGTTGACCCTGCATATGAACTCAACATCCTCTCGCTCGATGTCCTGCACGACGAGGATCTTTGCCTTGGCCAAATAATCCAACGACATGTCCTGGACATTCCAACACACAAGAGGAAGAACACTCACCTCACCCACACGCCAACGCCTGCACAGCGGCCTCCAGTGCACTAACACCCGCTCACTGTCGTTGCATCTCGGAGGATGGATTTCTGGATGAGAAGGACATTGCAACCTGTATCAAAGAGTCAACTCACACGTCAGGCACTCAGCAACTCCGCAGGTGCTCATTCAAATCCATCCCACGCACCCACCTACCTGTCGCAGCGATTTGTTTGATCATCTTGGCGAGTATGAGCCTCTCCTCGCGGAGCAGGCGGTCCATCGCTTGGTAGTCCTGACACAAAAGTTCAATGTACGCGTGTACCAGCAACAGTCTGCACACAAACTTGGACGTATCCGTCAGCTCTTGGTCACCTTGATGGTGATATTATTTTCGATGTCTGTTTTCGGCGGGGACAGGCAGAACTGAATGAGGCCCACATTCGCATCCTTGACAAAACTGCGACCCCCAGCAGAGCGAACAACCTGCAGAGAACGCATCAGCGACATGAAGACGATGCACTCTGTCATCGACTTCAGCCGCTTACTTTTTGCTGCGTGAACACGAGCCCTTCTACGAGTTCCGTGTCGTCCACAGTGCCGCCCAGCTTCCTGCACAGAAACACAAGACGTACATGAGATGCGATCTCCTCAGGGCAGGTGCGCTTGTCGTGGTGCACTTGACGACGCGGATGTCGTTCAGGTCCACATTGTCTGGATTGGCAGGGTCCAAGGCCTGCACCAGCCAAACAGCAAAGTGTCATTCTGTTTGTGGGCATGCAGTGGTGCACACGTGCGTATGTATGACCTTCATGACTGCATCGACGGCTATCGGCGCAAGCTGTGCGGCATTCTGGCTGACCACCTGAATGAATCAATTAGTGGATGCGCATGTAGACCGGCACAGCATCAAGTGGAGTGTCTGTCACCTGTATGCCGCATGTGCATGTACCTTTGAGCTGAGCGATGTGGCTGCATTCTTGATGAGGACATCCCTGTCGTTCAGGTCAACAGATGTGGACATCTCGCGAAGAATCTCCACGGACTGAGAACGGGGCACGGCGACGTCGAGAGGTTTGTCTCCCTCCCTCTCCCTCTCACCCTGACCACCATAAATGTAGGTGCCCTACCTTGTTTGATGCCTGCAGGAACGCCTCGGCAATAGCCTGTGGGTGGAGCCCCTTGTTGAGGAGCATCTCGGCTGCCCCGAGCAGCGCTCCGGCGATGACGACCACCGACGTCGTCCCATCGCCAGCCTCGACGTCCTGCGCCTTGGACAACTCCACCAACTGATACACCACAGGACACATAACGGGCAGACATGGTCGCGGATTGATAGATCCGCCTTTCTGCGTTGTGCGCACGCATGTATCACTTTACCATTTTGGCTGTCGGGTGCTGCACCGCCATTTGCTTGAGTATGGTTGCACCGTCATTGGTGATCACCACGCCCTCCTTGGCATCCTGGATCTGAGGAAGAAGCAAGACAAGACGAAGACCCACGAATGAATGGCGCACAACGACAGGCTGCGGCTGCTGATCGTACCATTTTGTCCATGCCTCTGGGCCCCAGGCTCGTGCGAATGGCATCCGCCACCGCTGCAGGCAAACACATGCCCATCCGGCGATTCACTCGCACAGTTTCACCCGAGACAAGCACGTGTGCACGTTGCATTTGGAGGAGTTGATGAAGCTACCTCTTGCCGCCACGATGTTCTGTCGCCTCACATCTTTCGTCTTCTCATTCTTGCTCAGCTGTTCTCCATGACCCTTCCACGCCTGAATCGGAGCTGAAGGAAGAAGACATTCGAACAACACATTCCCGCCACTTGCCCGACCTGAAAGTTGCGCACCTGAAACTTGCGCCATTTTCGTCTTCGGAGTTTTTCGGAGGCATCCGTTTCACTCGACCCAAAGCCTTAGCAATTCTGATTGATTGATTGATTGATTCATCGATGGACTATTTTGATTGCATTGATGGATCCTGCAACGACTGCCCGACCGCCCTGCTGCACGTTAACTTGAGGCTTTTGGCATTAGGGCGATGAGAGTCGTTTTACCCCCTCAACATGTCCTTGCCATTCCATCAACGCGTCTGTGAGACTTACCTATTGGCAGGATTGGCAGGGAGGGTAGCTCCGAATATGTGGCCATACCCTCAGGACCATACCCGGGACCAATATCGATGTGGGGCTCGCGGTGGTGTAGAGTCGTCGCAAAACAGACTGGAAAGCAAAATGTGCGTCTTCAACGCGATTCTCTGCGGCCTTTTGTTTGGGTGTATGAGGCCTGTTTTACCGGAAAGCACGCCGCAGTGGTTGGAACGGGAGCTTCATCTGACTCCTCAGTTTCCCGGCTTTTTCGTAGCTCACGGGCGACTTGACGAATCTTCTCTGGGACATCGGAATTGGACGTTCCTTGCAAAAGTGAAGACACGCAAGCTTCGTGACCTGCGGCGAAGAAATTCGCATTGCGCTCTGCACTACAGGTGGGACGAATCCGAACTCCGATATTCTCACTTTGCTTGCAATAGATAGCTTCATGCATCGAGCCCCGTATCGCGAGGCGATTATTTCATGCCCAGCGTCGGACAGCAATGTCTCTATTTCTGGGCGGAGTTTTGCGATCAATGCAACCGACAGAATTCGCGGAGACTGGAGTATTGCCGTTGCCGTGTCCACTTTGTTTGGCGATGTCAACTGTGACATTATATCTGCCTGGCTAAAGTACTACACCCGATTGGGTGTGTCCAAGTTCTTGTTCTATACGACTGTGACAAGCGGGAACCCGCCATGTGCCTCTGTCACAAACATGTCCGGAGTGGAATGGACACGCGTTCCCAGTAACTACGTGGAAGACATGTGGTAAGATGACTGAATACGACATCATCACTGAATGACCAGTTTGCATTAAGGTATCATGGACAGCTCTTAACTGTGAATGACGCATTGCTGAGAGCCAGCGGAAGTATTCGGTGGATTGGCTTTGTGGATTTTGACGAATTCCTGACAATTCCGTCGATTCCGCTTTCATTTTGCAACCTGTCTGCTTTTCTGGACAAGAAGAGCGTCGAACTGAATTCGTCAGCACTCGCCTTCCGACCTCACAAATACAGCGTTATCAAGCCGTGGGCTCTGCATTATAATGACGAGGAGCGTTTTTTCCGCTTTCTTCGTCGTCAGCAACCACAGAAATTGACCAAAGTACCCTTGAAATTCGATGGACGCGTTTGTATCGTATCACTGTATCTCGCAGATATTCGTTCGCCCTGATCAAGTGAAACGGATGAATGTCCATCACATATCTGGGTTCTCTGAAAAAGTGGTCTCTGTAGATGAGGCGGTATTGCAGCATTTCTCTGGGTTGCTTCTGAAACGAAAGTACACTGAAACTAAAAGGCGATTGGCACCCGGGGGATCCTTCTGGTAGGGAAGACGCTGCAGCAGTGCGGGGCGCTCCCTCCATCACATTGTCCTTTTTTCTGTGCGTTTCAAGTGAATAGACATACGAGTATAAGCATTCGTATGCCCACAGGGCAGAGAGGCACCTGTCATTGATTGTTTTTTAGCCATCAACTATCCCATGAGACGTGACCGAATGCGCACAGAATACTGACCTTCACACATACGGAAATGAAAGATCGGAAAGAGTTAAGTAGTTACAGCACCTGTGAATATATTGGAGAAGGACTTGTTAATACCGAGAGCATCGATCAATGAAAATCATTGGTATATCATTGGTATGGCTGACCCCTGGCCGTTCACAGCTGGGGCTATGTGAACGATCTGTTCATTCAGACGTACGTTGATGAGGTCGCGACTCTATCTGCACCGCTTCTCTACTATCTACTTCACGTGGCTGGCCTGTCTGTCACTACTTGGACATGCTTCGGAGTAACTGCCATCACCACACCGTCTACCACAGCAACTACAGCCGAGCTGTCCATCTCGTTGCAGAGGGCTGGGCGGTGGGCGGGGAGGTGCGGGCCGGGGCAGACGGAGACGTCAAGCTATCTGCCATCGTGAAGGGCTCTCTATAATAAGATCTTCGTGTGGGCCATTCGGCGCTGCTCGTCGAGTCTCGTGAGCGGACGCCCCCCCGTCACCGCCAAAGTGCGACCGCCCCCGCCACGCCCTCTGCCGCCACGGCCTCTGCCGCTCTACGCAGGCCTTGGCAAAGGTAGGGTTCTTGCGCCACGGTTGAAACACGCGTAGCCCATCACACGTGAGGGGCCGGGAACCTTCTTGCCTCCTGCTGCCGTCGAGTCCTTGGCCATGGGGTGCGCACATAGTGCTCGGTTCTTGAGCATCGTGTCCGAGACAATTGACTGCTCGTCGGTCGCCTGGCGGTCGTGCTTTTCAAGTCTCGTGTCGTGCCTGTATGTGTGTGTGGATGTCCGGCGATGGCTGAGGAGTACTGTGTCGAGATGGAGGGCAGCGGGCGGGCTCTGTGCCAGGGCCCATGGTCGGCAGAGCAACAGAGCCGTGTCAAGGGCGTCAACTTCAACGAGAGCAAGAGTGCAGGGCGGCGAGCGGAAGAGCGAGTCCTTCTCCGTCAAGAAGTACGGCGACGACGAGGCCAAGCAGATGGCCATCGCTTACAGGCGGGACATGGAGGCACTGCACTACCAGCCTGATGAGATGGCCGTAGATGATAGTAAGGAGGAGCGCCCGAAGAAAAAGAGGGTTGTTGACAGTTGCTCATGATGGTGACAGATTGTACAGACACTCGCATGAGGTGGATTCATACGTTTATCGAGTCTGTGACAGTCGCCCTTGAGACACCCTATCGCAGTCATCTCCCCAATTGCTTCCGTGGCATTGTCGGCTGCGTGGGAAGCTGCCAGGACCAGCTTGCCGTATCGGTGTCCGAAGCACTCAGCAAGGGAAGGGCGAGGGCCGTCAGATGGATGGAAATGATGGGAAACTCAAAAGGATGGATGGGATCACCCAAGGGATGGATGGGATTCACTCAAAGTACACACAAGGTCTTTTGCACCATGGAAGCGGCTGGAAAAGTCCCGATGCCGTCCATTTATCCACCCATCTCTCGCCCTGTTCTCCATCTCCTCACAGCGAGCGGCCTTGGCCCTCTTCCCGTTGCCTCATCCATCCCTATCTGCCCCTCTCTTCCTTTCCACCCAGATGTCGGCAGATCTGTGTTCCATGGCTAACGGTGAGCTGAAGCGTCAGGAGCGAGGCCAGCAGCGACAGCTCTCGCTGAGGGTGCAGGTCACTTGGCAGGTCACTGATGAGATGACCAGACGGAGGCAGGGGAGAGAACGCCGAGAATACACACGGCTCTCATTGTGCGTGTCTGTTTATGCAGGTTGCGAAGGGGATGTCATTGCGCCTTGAGGCGTTGGCCGTGGCAGATCAATTCATTGATGGTGAGAAAAAGCTGCCGAGCGGGCAGGATGGTGTGTCAAAGGCTGAACAGGCTCTTGCTGAATTCTGGAGCATTATGACGTATGCCCGCTTCCTGCACTCGAATTTTATGGTTATAAGGTCCCTTGGACACGCTATCGGATGGGTGATTTTGTTGGCTGCGTGGGAAGCTGCCACGCAGCGCAGGAAGCAGTGTGTGCAGTAGTCAGTGTGAATGCACAGACCAGTATATCAACAGCGATAATGTAGTAGTGTCTCTGTACAACCTATCCAACCAATCTATCAACATCATGGGCTACCCTCACTCTCCCCTCCTCCTCTTCTTCCTCATGGGACGCTCCTCCTCACTATCATCTACGGCGGGCTGCTCTGCTGCTACCCTTGCCGACAAACGTGTAGTGCCTTGACTCCATGG